CCATACGAATTATTGTTTAGATTACATTAGACTCGCATAGATGCTTTACTGTATGAGTAGGATGCAGGCAAACGGATGCACACACACAAACACACATATAAACACATATTCAATAGAAGACAGAGAGAGCGAGCAAAAAAAAAATCGAAACACAAACGAGTTGATGTGTACAGTTTACACCGAACATACAGTCTCTCGCACAGTTTTTATGCATCATCAAGCAAGAGATAGATTTTTAGTGAGTTGTACAATGTGTGTATATGATGTTTCAATAACGTATCTTCCATGTAAAAACATAACCATAACATCGAGTTGAGTGTTGGGCTGTTGGCATGAGTCTGGCATGTGATCATGTGCCCCAATCTGAATGTCATTAGGCTGACATCAGCAAATGTTCTACCACCGTTCATGACATCTTGCCCACGAAATTTCCGGAATACATTTGCATTTTGTGATCATTTGTTATTCAAATTGGAATAAAGAGAATCTATTGAGTATCAAAATTAAGGTGATTATTTGTAGCAATATACAATGAATGGGGAGAGAGGGGTGCCTTTCGCAGTTAAACCAGAGCTCAAGTAATTATTATGAAGATTGATCGAAATGTTTGGTTATGGAGTGCTTTTACTTTATTCGCAATTTTAACAATATAATCAAAATGGCAAAAGGTGCTGACTAGAGAGTGGAGGTCATAGCGGAGGTCATTCAAGAAATGCAACAAATCCTTGTATGGTCAAACAATTGATATTCATATGATTTACATTTTCAGTTATTATAATTCGAATGTGAAAATAATGGATTTCGATCTTTTACAAACGAACAATGGTCTCTTAAATTTTGTATTGGTTTCGATGAATGAATGCTTGTGCCGGCCAAATCTCGGCAATTTTCTCAATGCAATATGCTGGAACAATGCGTTCAATTCAATGTTGATATTCGCTTTAGATAAGCAGTGCAATAAATTTTCGATCAATTGCCTATACGTACATGTATGACGAAGCCAGTTGGCCACATTATCATCTGTAATTCCATTCACTTCACTTCATTTTATTTCACTGTGCCCAATGCCCATATATATGTATTTGACCAAAAGTTTGAATAATGCAATGAATTTGCCCATGGTCTTGAGAATGATGACCATAATCTTACATCTATTTCGGTATGGTATTTAAATATAAAATGAACAACCGATTCACAGGGTTGCTGATGAGTTTTCAAGTACATTATCCATTACGAATGCCTACCACACACGCACACACCAGTGAAGGAGAAATATGTAATTTGCATACCCGAAACATGTGGAAAATATGCCTTTGTCGACATTTTCGATCTTTCTAGGATATGAATTGTGACAGTCCGTTTCGATGTAATTCCTTTCGATAAGATTTCAACAAATATTCAATCCATTTCAGCAATGCAGTCTCATACCGGCAATGTGCCCTTTATCATTCGATGCAAATAAATTTGCGCGTTTATTACGACCGACTGAATATATTCGATATCATCCATTTGCTTCAAGCCATGTGATTCATGACTTAATTTAAACCATTCGACACACAAAAGACAAAAAGCAAATTTTGAATATGTGTACTTTGTATTACATAAGCTTATATCACACACACGGTCGATTGGTCGTATTTTAATATTTAACATTAGCCTCATGTGTGACATGAATGGAAAAACTATGAACATTTCAGCAATTTTCGTGCATTACGTATTGAGTTTTTGATCATTTTTTTAAAATCACACTCATACCAATAAACACGATTCATACAATTAGTTTTCTACTTTGTAATACTATATGTTACAACCAATCCTGCTTGCTGTGACAGTAATATCGTCTATTTTTGATGAAATCTATTAGTTTTGAGTAAAGATGTAATTTTCTTTGCAATTTTAATGGAAAGCAATGCGGCCAAAAAATGTTTCTCTCAAAAAAAAAAACTGATTTCAATGAGCCTTTTTTATTATTTAGTTGCAACAATGTGAAAAGATTGTAAAAATTCAGTATAACGATGGATTATTGATAAGATACATATTAACAATTCAATTGAATACTTCATTAAATTGATTATATCCCGCTATCAATTAGAAAAAAATGTATTTAATTGATAGATAAAATTCGAAAGAGAAAATCTGACTAATTGATTAAGACTTTCTTCGTGCTCGCGAAAATGTTTGAATTGAATGAAAATGTTTTTGGGACAAAAATATTTTGTGTCTTTGGTTAAAACTAAGATGAAAACCATACTAATGTAAGAACCATTCGATTCATGGTTGAACACAAAACCAAAATAGTATCGGATACCATATCGGAGACACATTGTGTATGGACTAATGTGTGTCATTTTAATCATTTCTATGAGAGGGCGTTATGTTCTCTTCGATTATGGAAAGGCATTCAAGTTTACTTTTATTGAAGATTCACAACAGTTACCATCCATTCACAATGAATGTAAATTTAGATGCAATTCGATATATAGCAATTGCTCTGTTTTTTTTTTTTTTTTGAATCGTGCATTTAATCAACACCAATGTTTGCTTCAAAAACACGTTCAATGGCAATTTATCATACCGTTTCACATCGAGAAGTGGAGTGGCAGTAAAAAGGGCATTTTGTGTATTGGCATGGATTTTGCATTTGAGATATTGAGTTAGTGTTGTTGATTCGGAGAAATGGAAATGTTCACTTGAATAAGCAAGCGAAACACCAAAACAGGTCCCCCCCTCATTTCATAAATGTTACGGTTTTGTGTTTTCATGCAATTCAATCAAGTAACACTTCGCAAACAGCTGGCAATAAATTCACATTTTGGGTAGATGATGACCAAAGCAAAGGGTGAAATTAAGAGATACCATTGGTAGTGCGAATATAAATTTGTTACTTACAAATAACATTTGATGTAAAGATATAAACGATGTTTTGTATGGAATGAGAATTCAAATGTGAATTAGAATGATCGGCTCTTGAGGCATACAGAAGGTTGAACGCATCGAATCAAATGCATTTTGATATCATTAAAATAGAATGTGAAAATGTGAGTGAAAATGACTATAAGCAACAACGACAGACGGATACAATGACATCAACAGAATCATATTTCAGTGTTGCATAAGTGTCGTTGTGTGTTCAGTTTCAACAAAGATGAGTGAACTGAACGTGATTCGAATTTGATCAGGCAGGGGGTAAAATAGTTAGTTTTTTTTTTGTTTTGGATAAAACTCATCATTTTCAAGCTTCCATATGCTGATATGCAGAGTTAAATCACTCCGTTTGCTCAAAATGCCATGTCGTATTGCCAATCTTTTTGCTCTGAATATATGTTCTCTCTTTTTCTCGCTCTCTCTTACATTCTGTTGTTCACTTTTGCTCTGTGTCGTAGCGAGTGTTTCGGTTCCAAAATTTCAAAAATCTTATAGAGATGCACCGATTGCATTGCTACTGTTTTTGATACAAACATATTTTGTTTGAGTCTTCAAGTACCAGCAAAAGAACAGAGAGAATGAAGGCATCCATCTTTCGGCAGCCGGTATGAGTGCGAATTGGATTCATTGCATGCAAACATACAAAGTGCATACGACCATAATACAGATTGTAATCATTATGCTTTGGGTTTTTGTTATAAACGCATGTACGTGGTGTATATTGGTGGGTTGTCGAGGCGCGCATATACACACACACACAAACTCTGCATGTTTGTGAGTTATTGAGAAATGAGATGTTGGCCGGTGGTAAATGTAAGTTCCTTCTAATATATGTAGTCCAACAAATGTACAAATGTGTCGACACACACACACGGAATTGCTTTGGATGACTAAAGATTGTGCATATGATTCAAATTCAACTATATACGGTGACTGCAGTGCTATGTTTTGTAGAAAATTTGATCATGTCGCTGTATTGTCGTTGTAAGCACGCCGACAGTCTATATAGCCGAGTATATGTGTATATATATATATTCTGCTGTTCAGCAGACCAAAAGAGCCATAGAAAAACCTTATATATGGGATCATCAACATCCAAGTCGTAGACGAGAGTGAAGTGAAGTCTCATTAATCAATGTGACACTGTGAAAGCTAATTTTGAATATGTATGTAAAACATAAAGCATATTGGCTTCACAAAAAACTAACCTATACACACACACACATCTTCACTTGCTCACTCTCTCAAAACACTTTCTTTAGCATTTAGCTTGGTTTCTGGGCTTGCGGACGTTTTTCTACCATATTCATTTCGTGTAATTTTTTTTTGTGCTGCCTCTTCATCTCGGTCTTCTTCGTTTGCCACTTTGCCAATCGTTTTCTTCATTTAATTCGTTTTATGTCTCGAATTTCCAATTTATCTCAAAGTGTGAGAGAATATGCGACACATACACATTGTAAAAACTTTATTGTGGCAAATCGGCAAATTGTTATTTTCAATATGGTTCTGTGAACTTTGCACGGTGTATGCACATGCACAAGCACAAACAGAAGCGACCATTCATATATATACATATATGTATATTGAATCGAGTATGTCACTACCAAAGTCCGTCTAGCAAACAAACAAATTGCATTAAGTCACTATATTTGACCGAGAATAGCAACAGAAAAGAGATGCAAGTGCATTTTGGACAGCAACACGTACACTGTGAAATTGGGGTTTTCAATTCTCTCGTCGTTTTATTTTTGGTGAAAGAAAAAAAATCGCTTCAAATCTTGCTTTCACTTCTGTATTGGCATATGGGAATTGTAGCACGCTCTCACCAAAATACACACCAAACGCGCTCAAAAGAAATGCAAAAAAAATGAACAACAACTGCAACCATTTTCATTTTGTTATATTTTCCCTCCCACTTCTGTCGCTCTTTCTTACTTACATCTCCCTTTAATTTTCTTCAAAATGTCCTTGGAAATGCACAATGTTCGATTTCGCTGCATCTGTAGAGTGAAAAAAGAGCTTTGCTTCTCACCAAAAGGAAATAAAATCAAAAAAAGAAGAAGACTAGACTCGTTTTTGTTTTATTGTTGGCCTGAGCTGTTTTATATTACAATGTCATTAGGTTTCAGTGAAAATTTAACGTTATTTGTTATGCGTTTTCATGTGACGCTGCAAGTGCACTTTTAATCTGAATGGCCTTGAACACTGCTCACATTCAAATGGCTTTTCACCCGAATGTATTTTTAAATGATTGTCCAAATTTTGTTTATAGGCAAATCTGCGCGAACAAAGTTCGCATTGGAATGCTTTTTCACCCGTATGGATCACCATGTGAGTTTTTAAACGGCTACGAGTGGTCGTAATATAATCACACAATGGACATTTATGCAATTGGCTGGTGCATAATTTTTCATGTAAATCCTTGGATTTTTCATCCGAAAATCGACGGCTGCAAGAAATACACGAAAATGGCAGCTCTCGATGGGTTTTCAAATGACGATGTAGATCACCACGATGGAGAAAGCGCTTTGAACAATGCGAACATGGGAACGCATATGTTTTGGTATGTGTTTTGAGATGCAGGGAAAGATGACTAGATTGAGCAAAGCTTTTCGAACACACTTCGCATTGATAATTCTACATACAACGAAAAAAAAAAAACAATTAAAAAAAGTTTTTTTAGGTTTATGGGATTTTTTGCTTACCTTTTGGCCGGTGTGTGTCACCAAATGAACGACCAGATGATGTTTCATTCGAAAATCTTTCTGACAAATGTCGCACACAAATCTCTTATGCGATTGACTGGATTGTTGTGCTTTTTGAGTATCTTCTTGTTTCTGTTGGGTCTTTTTTTTAACACCTTTCACGCCATTGCGAGACAATTTTCTTTTAACTTTTGTTCGTGATTTTTTTCGTGTTTTTGGTATTTCTTCTGTTAGTGTTTCAACTTTTGTAATGATCAAAGGTAATGGTTTCTCTTCATTAATTTGCTTATTTTCTTCCTTTATTTGAAGATTTTCATCGTTTGATTCACATTCTGTGCTACCCATTAATTTTTGATCGAATTCATCATCACTGTCGTCAACATGATCGAATGATTCGAATGTTTCATTTCTGTCGTTGTCGTCATCGTTGTCATCATCATCATCATCTTCATCAATTTTTTCAAATGTTTTATTAAGATTAGCATGATTTTCATCCGATTCAAGTCTTGATTCTCTTTTGATCGTTGCATTCACTTCATCTGTCTCCACTAGTCTTGGTTCCTCTTTGACAATGACTTCTAAAAATTTAACGGCTGGTTCAACCACCGAAACGGCATTTTCATGCGTTTTTAAATGGCGATTAAGATCGCCTCTGTGTACAAATGCCTTCGTGCAAAGCGAACATATAAATTCACGGCTACCATTGTGATATTTCATATGTATATTCAAATGGCTCTTCAATGCGAACGCTTTCTCGCAAATATTGCATTGAAATTTTCGATTTAATTGATTGCCATCGCCGTGTGTTCGCAAATGTTCGGTGAGATGATGTTTCATGCGAAATGCCTTTGGGCATTTTTCACATATGAATCGTCTTTCGCCGATGTGCTTATTTTTATGCACATTCAATGCATCATTGGTGTCGGTTTCAAAATCACATATTGAACACGTGAACCGTCGACTTCTGCATACGGTTTCATGTGATTGCTTTTCAACACAATCCGCAAATCGATCAGTACAAAATGTACACCGAAACGGTAATTGTGTACGATGTGTTTTCCAATGACGTTTTAAATCTCCGCGATGCATAAATTGCTTTGAACACCATTCGCACTTAAATTCCTTTTTGCCGGTATGAATTTTATTGTGTTGGGTCAAATGACTCTTCTGTCGAAACGGTCGCCCACAAATCTTACACAGATACTCTTTTTCATTGTTGTGCACTTTTAAATGCTCCAACAAATGATGTTTTAGACGAAATGTCTTTGAACACAAATGGCATAGAAAATTCCTTTCCATCGTGTCCACAAACTCCGTTAATAAATCATCATTTTTATTTTCATTGTTTTTGAATTCTGGCAACAATACATTTACTTCACGTTCAACATTCATTTTCACAGTCTTCAACTTCACCACATTTGTGAATGAAACGGTTTTAACGCGAAACTCTTTTTCCACAATGAAATTTATGTTTATTATTTTGATTCCGGCTTTTCGTTTACAACAAAAATAAAATAAAAATAAAAACCCTTTGATTAGACGTGAGATTCAATCCGTTGTTATGTATTTATTTTGACATGACTAAATATGTTAAATGTCAAGTGTCAGTTGGCTAGTTCACAGTGATTTCAACAGTTGATTTGTGTTGAATATGTCATGGTTTTGTGGCCAACTTCAGTATGATTGAGCAGTGAGCACACAACCGAATAATTCAAATGGCATTGTTTACGTTGAATTTTATTTATCATTTGTTTATTTTCTATTCGAATCTATTTTTCATTCAATTGAATTTAAAAAAAAAATACGAACAATGAAGATGTGTGGATTCAATGCGATTAATTTTCACTTTTTTTATATTACCAAAAGAAAATTAGAAACAAACTGAACCGATAAAGTGCATTGATCGATGCATCGTCACTGTGCAAAAAACTGCAGTAAATCAGTGGATAGAAAGCAATATGAAAACTCAATAATCTTGATGCGACTCTGTGCAAATCGAAAGATACTATGCATTATTCAGTTTTTATTTGGTAAACAATCCATTTCATCCTCACATATGAAGCATGCATATTTGTGTTGTGCTGGTATTGCCATTACTATTGCTGCCATTGCAATTGTTGTTGTTTTTGTTTTGCAAGTGTGTATTGTGCCGACTATTCGCAATGAATAATCCGAGCGCCTTTCCTCAAACGCCCCCAAACCATGATAAAATTAAATTGATGTAGTGCAATAAATAAATACGGCACATCACTTCTACGTCTCGGTTTTTCAAAGTGCTCCCCGCTCACTCTCTCTCTCTGTCAATCTATCTATGTGTTTGTGCCTGTGTTGTTTGCGTTTGTTTGCATACTGGCATCCGTTTCTCAGCTCGGTAATATTCCACTTTAATTCACGTCCTCTTTATTGTTCCAAATTTGAATTTCGTTCGTATTATTATTATTTTTTTCATCTTCTGTTATTGCTCAACTCGGTCCAATATGTATGAGCGTCTGTATGTGTACATTTCACTCCCGATTCCTCTCTCTCTCTTTCTCTCTCACTCTCTCTGTCTATCTGTCTGTTTTTCTCACTTTTCGCCCAGCTGCCATTTGCTTCGTTTAATTCTGTTTATACAAAATTTGTTGATAAAATTTTTCTACCAAATCGTTATAATGTTTCATTAGATAAATCGTTTGCATGCATAATTCACCACTCGAGAGACTGTGAGAAACTGAAGAGCTTATATTCTCACTTGCATCCGAACAAATAGAAATTTGTGTACCGTATTTATCTTGGGTTTGAGGTTTTCAGCATTTACACTTTTATTTGTGCTGCTGTCGTTTTGTTGTCGATGTGTCGTAGCATTGTGTGCATAGCCAAATGAAAATAGTGAGAAAGATTGAAAGAGAATGGGAGAGAGGCTACAATGAAACTGGGTACCATGGGCAAAACACTATGAAATACGAAGACGACAAAAATTGTCGACTCCGTTCTCAATATGTTTCGCATGCAATTTTCTTTTTAGTCAGTCGATCGGCGTTCTCTCTATATCATTTGTATGTGTGTGTTTTTTTTTTGTATTTATGTGAAAGCGATGTATTCGTTTTACATTTTTTGGGTTAAATGTGCACCGAATCACTTTGGAGGCACAAGGCAAACTATTCTTGATGTAAGAAAGAAGAGCAAGTATAAAACCCCAAAACAACTACCAAACGGGTGGTGGTGGTGGTTCGGCAAGGAGCCGGTTTGTTTCAAATATATATAATTTTTTTTTATCTTGTTGCCACTCTCTTTTTCATGCATTTACATCCAACAACTATTCTTCATCCATTTCTTGCCATTGCTGACGACGGTGGCGATGATGACGATGACGCTGCTGCTGCTGTGTGTTGGGAGCGAGTTTTTCTAAATTTAAACGACAAATTAATCATTTTGAAAGTTTTGCAATTCCTGCTGAACCGAGCGTATTTATTACAACATTCTCTCTACGGTTATGTAGAGAAGTGCAATGGGCCACCGACACACACACATCCTTCCTTTCACTCGCTCATTCAATCGCTAGATTTATATGCATGTATGCAAATGCTTGCATGTATTCTGGTGAGCACGGGCACGCTCTCGTCTGTATATGAAAAAAGAGATACTGGAAGAGAGAGAGAGAGAGAGAAGTCTCGATTTGTTTGTGTTTCAGCAAAGAGTATAGAATAAGGGAGTCTAGCTGATTGTTCGGCTCCTTTTTTCTTCTATTCGCCTAAAAGTTTCCTTTTTAAATGTACACATTTATATTGTATGCAACATCTCATGCACGTTCACTAGTTCGTGCTATGATGTTGTATGCTATTCACATTTTTTGCTCTATCACTCTCTTTCTCTAACTCTTGTTTTCCATCACAAATTCATTCGGTTCTCAATTCAATGATGGTTTTATATTTGTCTAACAAACAACAGACACGGTAAGCGCATATACTTAAACATTTTATATATTCCATGTGTACATTGCAAAATTTATTTATTCGTTTCAACAGCACGCAACTCTGGTATTTAAGCAATTAAATGTCGATTTAATTTTTCTCCAACTTGTTCGCTTTTCTTCTACTTTTTTTTCTTCTTCTTTACTCTACGTGATGGTTTTAATTTTTCTCGCTCGTTGCTCCATTTTGTTTAAACAAAAATCAAAATGACTACAAAGAGGAAGAGGCAACCGTGTAAAAAGTGTTCGTCTGCTTCATCTTCTTCAGCGATTGTTTGTTTAAAATGCAATATTGACACAGTGAATAGAGACCGGGTTTTTTTTCTTCTTTTCTTGCTTGGTAAAAATAAACGGAATGTTACACAATCAAAAATTCAACAAGCGATATTCCAAATGTTTTAATTTCTTTACATCAATTAAATTACGTCTACTTAATTTATCACTAAAACGAATCACACTCCCATCGTTTCTCTCGATTTTCTTTCGTTTTCTTTCATTCTCTGATTTCCTCTCAACAATCAAATCAAAAACAACCAAATGAGTTGTAAATAAATTTCGACTGAATTTCTTATTATGCTCGAAATACCGTATGAATGTTTAACACTGCATTGTACGGATGAAGTAATGACAGCAAACGGAGATGACAACGATGGCAACTTTACCTCTATCTTTCACTACCAAACTGAATCAATACTCTTTTTCTTTCTTTCTTTCTTTCTTTCTCTCTCTCTCTGTCCCCCACTCCTCTTCCTCCCTGTAATTTCAATTTTCAACGCAAGTTTTCGATGATAATATTTATTCCTCGAATATTTTTTTTTGTTCAGCATCTTTTTCTTGGGCCACGATGCGATAGAGCTATTGAAAGATATAGCAAATGCCAAGCAACAAAACATTCGAAAACCCGATGACTTGAAAAGTTATATGGTATGGTGGCTTATTATGAGACAAAGTTTGAAGGGAACAACGATAAAGAGAAGAGCAACAACAACAGCAACAACAGCAAAATAATATCGAAAAATTTCGTTATAGAAACGAAAACATAAAAATCTCTGTGCGCCGGATATTTGCGGATATTTGGCACCAACAACAAAATAATAACAATCATAATAATGATGAGAAGTTATTTATTTTAGACTTCCTGTTTTCTTACTTTTGCTCAACCATAGTTTTTCCTCTCTTTTTTTATCGTTTCTATTCGAGACTTGGGCTGGAGCATGGCAAAATGAAAAAAAAGCGTTGATATATTGCGACAAACAGCCGGTCAATGAGGATTCGCTTCGATTTTTATTTTCATCTTTCAGGCAAATAATGTGCTTTAAATAGTGAAGAACTGGAATAAAAATCGGGAATTATTTGAAAATCGTGCTGGATAATATGTATAACATTTCAGTACACGATTGAATTTGAGACGGGACAAGTATTGGTCGGGCTGTTGACAAATATCTATAAGTTTATATACATGGATTTTTATTTTTATCGTGTTATTTTTCGGTGAAAATTCATTTCCTGTTTCTTTCGTAGTCTCTTTTCTTTAGTTTATATCATCGCCTGCAAGTGATGTGCTGTGTGCACTTTAAAGATATTTTTTTTTTTGCTCCTGCCGCCGTGAAATTTGCTAACAAACCCAAGACGAATACAGCAAGAATGGGGAAAATAAATAGGGAATCAAAACGAAAGAAAAGTACAGGGAGAGAGAGAGAATGAGAGAAAATATGCGAAGCAAAATGAAAGAGAAAAATGAATTGAAAAGAAACGAAGGAAATCACCACGTAAAAGATCAACAACAAAATTGCAATTTCGGCGAAAATCAGAAAATCCGGCGTTCGACATAATAAATGTTTGAATGGGTCTTTGACCACTCAACACAAATCATTGTCGTCATCGTCGCCGTCGTCGTCAGTACATACGACAGAATAGAAAACGTTCCCATGATCTAACCTTTGCTGAATTGTGGATATTTCATTCAATCGCAATCAGATAAACAAATTGCTTTCAGCCATTCACACTGTAACATTGATAGAGTTTGATGATCTGAAATGTTAGTGGCAAAAATCATATGTAAGCCTTTATCGCGAACGAAACATGCGGACGATGCTTTTGGTTGCTTTTCTTTTCTTCGTCTTTTTTCGCTGCGAATGTGGCATACGATGTATTGTTCGTATTTGCTCTAAGAGCATGACTGAGCAATGTGCGACCATAGTTTGTGATCGTTAAGTGGAATAGTGCCACCACCTTTATATGAGCGCAATTTTTTCTTTTATTATTTTATCGTATGTATGTGTGTGTGTGTGTGTGTTCTACAACGAGGTAAAGTAGTTAACAGCTAAACTTGTACGCCAATCACGTATAGCTGCTTCGACGAAATCAGATTTGAATTTTTTCAAATAAGTTTCTCATCTGTTCCGCATCGATGGATATTGTTGCTACATTAAAATCCAGCCACTGTTCAAACCGCTGAAATTTCACTTAAATGCACGCATTGGATCAATTCTTTTATGACATCTTGCAAACACGCTTCAGACGCTATTTCATTAACATAATAAACGAGCACGGTGTTGGAAACCCATAATAATCATAATAGTAAGGTGAATCATAACCGGTGT